TGAAGGCAATCTTCTTAAGCAGGAGAGTGACATGATCTGCTCTTACAAAGATCCCTTGGCAGTAGATGTGGTGTGTAAATGGGAGGAAGGAGACCAGCTGAAAGATATTGTAACACTCCTGTTGAAATGAGAACCTGAATTATAGCAATGGCTATGGAAATAATAGAAGAGTACTTGACAGAGGCAGAACAAACAGCATTTGGTGACCTCTATAGCAGCTGTTAGAGATAAGCATTTGGAGTAACTCCTTCATTAACAACTTCAGGGTTCTGGTAGATAAGTCCTTTTCTTTCCCTGAGAAAGGGGATACAGTGGGGAAAAATCTAGTCTTCTATTATTTGACATTTTTCCCCTTCTTTTAAATAGAGGTAAAAGGGGATTATAAATTTTGTTTTAGAAATGTTATATTTGAAGTGACTGAGGAAGAATCAAATGGAGATGTTCAAAAGGCAGCAGGATGTGATGAAAGAAAGCCTGGAAGAAAGATCTAGGCTAATGATAGAACTTTGTGATTCACAGAGACATATAGTAATCATTTGCGTTTCTCGTTTATTTGTTTTTAAATACAATTATCTTTTCCCCTTCCAAAGAATACTCTTATTTCCTTTGGGGAATTGCTTCTTCCCCATTAAATAAAATCTCGTGGGATTCTTAATCAGGCCATTGGGAGACCTCTCCCTAAATGTGAACCATGAGGAGAATAACAAAAAGACTACGCATAGCTGGAGTACATTCATTCTAGCAGCAGGGCACTGCCTGGATGGTTCTTTCTAAGAGACCAGTCCCATAGTTTTTGCTTCCTAGCCTCCTAAAGATGCCTTGGTTTCATCCTGTTTCCAAGCATCGTTCTGTGATATCCAAACAACATTCCAATACATTCAAATTTGGTTAATTTAGTCAGAATTGGTGTCTGTTGCTTGAAATCTGAGAACTTTAACTGATATTACACTGACATACATATGTGCACACAGACATAGACATAGATGTGGATAAAACTTCCCAAGAAATATGCACAACATTTTAAAAAAGGGAGAGCCAAGGCCAGACTCTGGGGGCCGTTGAAGAGAGAGGAGTAGAGGCTGAGGAGTAGCCAGGGAAGGTTAGAGGAGAGAGTACTGTCAACGGGGCCATGGGAAGTTTTAAGGAAGAGGGAGTGGGTGGTCAACAAGTGTCAAAAGCTACACAGATACATTGGGAATGCCAGAAAGCAAGGTATGGAAGCTGGAAAGCATATGCAAGTTATAGGGAGACCTCGCCATGGGAAGTTTTAAGGAAGAGGGAGTGGGTGGTCAACAAGTGTCAAAAGCTACACAGATACGTTGGGAATGCCAGAAAGCAAGGTATGGAAGCTGGAAAGCATATGCAAGTTATAGGGAGACCTCCTTGACTGAAACAGAGAGGTTTTCTTGGAGAGCAAAAGAAAATAAGGAGGGTTAGGGTCAGCTAATGCAGAACTTTGAATGTGAGGCAAAGGAATTTAGACAGTAAACAACAACAGAGAAGAAATGAGGAGCTTAAAAAAACAATGCCTATACTTAATGAATACGAACTATGTGCCAAGCACCCTGCTAAGAAATTGTCTGTCTCATTTAATTTTCAAAACAATTCTATGATGTAGACACTCAGTGTCTGACATACGTATTCAACAATATGTATGTCAGTTTATATGTCATACACTGTGTATATGTCATAAATATGTATATGTCATATGTATGTATTTGTTAACTAAACAAGTTCTAATACCACCCTCTCTTTAGATGTGAGGAAATTTCCCCCAGTACCTTCATTCTTAACATATGCTACATTTATTTGATGTTTTAAAAAGACAGAAATAAATTGAATAGTGAATGGTGAGAATTTCTTATATTATGGTGGATATCTGGCCACTTTTTAAACATGCAGACATTCCATCTGGGCAAGTTCCTCCAGACCAGTGCTATCAAATTTAACTTTCTGCAGTGATGGAAATATTCTATATCTGTGTTGAACACTTTACATGTGGCTGGTGAAACTGGCCAGTTAGCTCAGCTAGTTAGAGCATGGTGTTACAATACCAAGGTTAAGGGTTTGGATCCCCGTACCAGACAGCCGCAAAAAAAAAATAATAATAAAATGTTCGAACAAATTATTCTATGTCAACACAGAATTATAACATTTCTCCCTGATTCATGTTTAGAAAAGGATTCTTGGCATATACCTAATGATAAGAAAATATGACTAGTAAAGAGAAAAATTCATTACTCCAAAAAAAAAAAAAAAAGTCAGTGTAAATGTGGCTGGTGAAACTAAGGCACTGAATTTTTAACTTAATTTAATTCAAATTTAAATAGCCACATGTGGCTAGTGGCTATCATACTGAACAAGGCATCTCTAGACTACAGCCTGGACAATTCAATGGAAAATCTCTTAGCTTTTCTACCACTTTCTGTCTTAGCTGCCTTGGATTAGACTCCATAAAGTTTAAGTCAAGAGGGACAGAGCTGGGCAATAAAGAAGGGATAGAAAAGATATAGTTAGGTTGTCAATGAAGGCAGCAATTCTGAAGTCTATAAAACTTCCTAGTTTTATTTTACAGTCTCTATTTCACATATCAAAATATTATTAGCTCCTTGAGGTCAAGAACCCAAATCAATTTCTAGTCTGTCTTGGAAAATTCTAATTTGATGTTTCTTTCATATTTGAAAATGCTTGCCTAATGACATTTAACTTGTGTGTAATATGTTACAGTCTTCCTATGATAGTAAATTTCAGGGTGATAATTTCATTAGCTGAAAAAAATTCTTACTTTGTCGTCTTATAGTAGTTTTGAATGGATGTCTTCCTATCATTTTCTATTCATTTTAAAGTGTTTTGGACTTTTCTCATATGGCAATAACAAATGTTTATGTAAATTAAAGTAACAGTAGTATTATTCTGTTTCCAGTTGTGTTATACTAAGTTTGTGGATAACCTGTTTGCTTTCTTTGTTGATCTATGTCATTTCTGAAGAATGTGCAGAGAAACTAGAATTCAAATGATCACCATTTTCCTACAGAAACCCCAGAATTTCAAGGGCCTCTATACCTTATATTTCTTCAGTATGTCAAATAACACTATATACATAAAATATATTCAATAAATATCTTATTTGTGTACCCCAAGAGGGCACATATTTAATAAATATTTAATGAATTGAAAGAAGATATAAAGTTTTGGGGCGAGTTTAAAAACATATGCGGGAAAAAAAGGCAAGAGAAAAAAGGATAAAAAAAAAAGAAAAAAAAAGGCCGGCCCCGTGGCTCACTCGGGAGAGTGCAGTGCTGGTAGCGCTGAGGCCACGGGTTCAGATCCTATATAGGGATGGCCGGGTGCGCTCACTGGCTGAGCGTGGTGCGGACAACACCGTGCCGAGGGTTGCGATCCCCTTACCAGTCAGAAAACAAAAGAAAAAAAAATTAAAAATAGAAAAGATATAGAAAGAAAAAAAGGAAAACAAACACATAGGGCACTAAGCAGGCAGACAGAACCCCCAGAGAAAAACCAGAAAGTATGAAAAGACAGGTCTCCTAATATTCTGCAGAGTAGAGGAGATGACCAATAAGTGCTAGGATGGACCAGGTCTCCAGGACAGCCCAACTGTTATCAAATAGTAGGATGGTGGCAGGTGGTAAGTAGAGGGCAGAGATGAGGGTGGAAGAGGGAAATAATTTGTTTTCCTTTGGCAATTTACTCTAAAAATTTTCAAAATACAGCAAAGGTGAAAGAATTTTTTTAGCAAACACCTGTATATCTGCCATCTAGATTCTACCACTAACATTTTTACTATACCTGTTATAACACTGTTTCCTAAGATAAAATCATGTTATACAATCAATTTTATAAGTTGTGAAAATAATTAAAAATTCAACATCCATCACATGTAGTGGTCCCCTTACTCCCCCTTTTATGTGTATGTTCTTGCTCAGAGAGTAGTTTCCATCTCAGTTTCAATGGCCAATGTCTTTTATATTTTACAATTCTACAGAATTATGTGCTTGTTCCCCTAATAATAATCATTAAAAACAATAGTCTAAAGTAACAGAGCACTTGTATAACATGGAAGGGAAATAAAGCATTTAGATTTTGAGGGCAAAGTTGCTAATAGGTGAGTCAAAAATATTCAGCAGCCTTTTAAAAGTACAGGAATGGAGTATGGAAAGAGGTAAAGGCAAAAAGTACATATTTGGGTGTCATCTCTATAGAGATGAAAAGTGAAGCAATAAGAATACATGATATTTTGGGGGCTGGAAAAGCATGAACTAAATTTTGAGAATGTTCTTACATCAGCAGTAGGTAGAAAGAATTATGGTTAATACAAAACACAGAAGAGAAGTTAGGGTAACAGGACAAAACAAACAAAGGAGAAAACAAAGTTAGAAAATAAAGAGACCTGTCCAAGTGTGAGTTGCTAAGAAGACTTGTGAAGAAAGGCAGGGGTAAAAATTACACAGTAATTACAAAGTAATTCAAGTTTAAAAGTTCTTCACATTACAACCTTTGATGACTTAAACAGTAATTCTCTTAGAATGTTTATATAAACAATTTAAAAAGTTTTAGTCAGAAAACTTTTCGGGAGAACACCTACTGCAATAAACTAGGCATCCCTCATTCAAAAGTGAAATTCTACAGAATGTATATGAGTATATATAAACAACACTAGCTAGCTAAATAATTCTAATGTTTTATTTTCCCAATTAGTCCTAACTACCCCAAAAATAAGAGGCAAAGCCATACAGTAGGCTTCAGTTTTCCACCTGACTATTTAGAATGCCTTTACGAAGATTTTTCATGTTCACTATTCATATTTTATTCTGAAATAGTAACAACTGTCAAACAGTTTTCACAATAAATTATAAAAAGCTCTTAAAAACTTTGTTTTATAATTTACTAATTGGATATAAGGCATAAAAGAAGATTTAAAAAAAACCCAAATTCCCTAAAAAACGATTTTAATCACTTTCTAAGTCAATGAGGACACCTACCTCCAAAAGAAGAGGTCCCAAGGATTCCTTTTCTATCACTCCTTGACTACTTGATGAGATGTCTGATTTTTGTACATCATCATCAGTTGTTGATTTCTCTGTAATAAAGAAAATTTAAAAATCACACATCCAAGAAGGATTCATTCCCATAAAGGCTAGTTTATGAAGACATAGACTCACTTAATTTCAAATTCAAATAACATTTATTAAGCTTCACACTTAATCTTAATTATACTCAGTTTATGGATAATAAAATAGAGCATCAAAAGGTTAATTTGCCCCAAATCATCTAACTAATAAGTGGTAGCAGGAGGATTTGAATACTGACTGAGTCCAGTGTTTCAATAATGAGAAAATGCTGTACATACATAGCCTTTTTTAAAAAGTCCACACCAAAAGCTTTCGAGAAGTAGATAAATCGTAAAGAATGATTATTTCCTACATTTTTCTTTTCTCTTTTCTGATATGATCCATTGCCATTGAAGAGAGAATGAAGATATGATTTTTCCTTTTTGTCTTTTTTCGTGACCGGTAACGGGATTGCAAACCTCAGTGTCGCGCCAGTACCGCAAGCGGCAACGGGATCGCAAACCTCAGTGTTGCGCCTGCACTGTGCTCAACCAGTGAGCGGATCGGTCTCTATATGGGATCCAAACCCTTGGCGGGAGCGCCGCTGCGCTCCCAAGCGCCGCACTCGACCGAGTGCGCCACTGGGCCGGCCCTATGATTTTTCCTTTTGACAGCCCGCATGTACTTGGTAACTTCACATCTGTGTCATGATGTTCTGATAGATAAAACTGTAACTGGTCAATGGTTTAAAGCAGTTACAGCTTTAGCTATCCCATCTTCCTAAAGCAGCATCATGCTTAAATAATAGTTTCCAATCTGTCAGACTATGTACTTCACCAAAAACCAAATATGGTATTATTGAGTATAGAGATTCACTTTTTCACTTAAAAATATGATGTATTTAAAATATTCCAAAAAATACAGAAAATTACATAGCATATATCCATACAGCCACCATTCAATTTTCACACCTGTTAATATTATTTGCTTCAGGTCGTTCCTTTTTAAATAAATAAAATGTTGCAAATATAGCTTAAGACTTGCCACCCTTCCTCCTCTGTGCTTTTTTTTTTTAAAAAGAAGCAACCATTATTCTGAGGTTGGTAGAATCATTTCTAAGCATGTTTTTAAACTTTTACTACATATATATAATTTCATGAACAGTATATTACTGTTTTGTGTTTTAAAGTTTACATAAATATGTATAGACTATTTCCACTCAGTATTATACTTGAGATTAACCACATTGATGTATACAGGTTTGATCCATTCATTTAAACTGCTGTATAGTATTACTTTATATAAACAACCCACAGTTGATTTATCTATTCCCCTAGTGGTGGGCCTTTTTTTGCTACTACAGTGCTGTGATAAACTATTTTCAGTATTTCCTCTTTTGTACATGTGTCACAGTTTCTTCAGGGTAAATACTAGAATTAAAAATGTGGGATCATAAGATCTGTGTATCTTCAACATTACTAAGTACTGTATGAAGAAATTGCTCTCTAAAGAGGTTCTACCACTGATTTTGCTTTTCTGCATCCTCACTGACACTTGATATCATAACAGTTTTTTAATTTTTGTGAATCTATGGGTGTAAAATGTCATATAGTTTTGATAATAATCGCCTTGAATTATAATTCATACAGTATGCAATTCACACATTTAAAGCACACAGTTCAATGGTTTTTAGTATATTCAGAGTTCTGCAACCACCATCACAATTTTTGAACATTTTCATCACCCCAAAAAAGAAACCCCATTTCTATTAGCAGTCACTCCCCATTTTCCTATCACTCCCAGCCCAAGGCAACCACCAATTTACTTTCTGTCTCTATGGATTTGCCTATTCTGGACATTACATATAAATGGAATCATACAATATGTGTCCCTTTGTGACTGAACTTCTTTTGCTTAACAATGTTTTCAAGGTTCAACCATGTTGAAGTATTCATCAGTACTTTATTCCTTTTTATTTTCTAGTAATATTCTATCATATGGATATACCTCATTTATCTATTCACCAGTTGATGGACATACAGCAGTAGTTTCTACTTTTTGGCTATTTATGATAATGTTGCTGTGAACATTCATGTACAGTTTTTGTAGGAACATATGTTTTCATTTCTCTTGGGTATAAACTAGGAGTGGAATTACTGGGTCATATGGTATCCACGCTCAACCTTTCGAGGAACTGTTGGAACATTTTCCAAAGTGGCTGCTTCATTTTAAATTCCCACCAGTAGTATATGAGTGTTCCAATTTTTCCCATCCTCACCAATACTTGTTATGAGTATCCCTTATCCAAAATGTTTGGGACCAGAAATGTTTCAGATTTCAGATATTTTTGGATTTTGGTATATTTGCATATACAAAATAAAATATCTTGAGGATGAGATCCAAATCTAAACACCAAATTCATTTATGTTTCATATACACCTTATATATATAGCCTGAAGGTAATTTTACACAATATTTTTAATAATTTTAGGCATGAAACACATGAGCTGTCACATGAGAACAGGTGTAGAATTTTACACTTGTGGCATCATGTCAGCACTCAGAAAGTGTTGGATTTTGGAGGACTTTGGATTTTCGGATTAGGGATGCTCAACCTGTATCTGTCTTTTTGATTACAGCCATCTAGTAGGTGTGAAGTGGTATCTCACTGTGGTTTCCATTTGCATTTCCCTAATGGCTAATGATGTTGAGCATTTTTTTCATGTGCTCATTGGTCATTTGCATATCTTCTTTGGAGAAATATTTGAATAAATATTGGCCTTTGCACATTTTTTAATTGGGTTATTTATCCTTTTATTACTATGGTGTAGGAGTTTCTCATCTAGTTTTAAGATACATTTCCTTCATCATTTCATGTGTTTTAGGACGCTGAGGTAAGGAAAGTTTTTGTTTTTAAACAAGTCCTAAAAAACATAAACCATCAAGTCCAAGTAGATTAAACAACTATGTGCAAGAAGCAAAACATTGAAAATTTTAGGGAAAACCTAAGGTAGGAATGCCTATGTGACTAGTTTCAGGCCTAAGGGATATCAACAGAGTGACATGTAATTTTGGGGCCTTGTCCGTAAAGGGGAAGAAGGAAGACATGCTTCTTCCCCTTGTTTTCTTCTTTTTATTGGCTGGGACATGGAGAGGTGAGACATGTTTTGCCACATGGATAATGGCAATACTGTAGGAATGGCAGAGCAAAAAAATGGAAGGAATTGGAATCTCTGACACCTACCTAGACTACTTCCTTAAAGCCATAGTATTGTTATAGTAGGCTAGCCTAAATCCTAATTATTACACTCCATTCTTCTCAATAACATGCTTATTTGCTATACTCTGATTTTGTCTATATAAGATATAATCTACTGACATGCTATTATGAAAGTAAGAATTTAACTTACTTACACTAACCTGTTACACATACATTTCTTCTCCTCTTATCCTTCCAATATAGTTATAACAATTTTTAGGGCAATCAATATTTAATACACATATCTATGTTACTATGGCTTCATAAATATACTTTATAAGTGAGCCAAGGTGTCTACTATAATTTGCATTTCTTTTCTTATATTTTGTGTTTCAGATTTTCTGTGTAGTTTAATTCAACCCTAACCTTTCTTCCAGAGCTCAAAAATTCCTCCCAATTTGGTCAGTTATCAGATACTCCCTAGTGTTCCTTTTTTTTTAATGGAAATATTCCTCCCAGAATCCTCTATCCACCTGCTCCAACTGGGACTGGCTATTTTTTTTAATAGAAATGTAATCGATTATACATATTTGTGGTGTAGAGCTGAGTATCAATACATGTATACAAAGTGTGATGATCAAACCAGGATAATTAGCATATTCATCATTATAAAACTTAATCATTTCTTTGTGATGAGTACGTTCAATCTCCCCTCTTCTAGCCATTTGATAACATGCAGTAGATTAATGCTGATTATAGATGCCTAGCTCAACTGTACATCAACAGCACTTATTTTTCCTAACCAGCTGTTTTGTGCCCATTAACCAATTTCTCACTATCCCACCCTCCCTCTCCCTTTCCCATCTCTAGTAACCAGAATTCCGTTGTTTCACTCTGAAAAGTCAACTTATTATTGTTCCTTCCTCCTTCCTTTTTCATTTCTTTATTTATTAGCTCCCACTTATGAGTGAGAACAGGTGGTATTTCTCTTTCTGTGCCTGGCTTATTTCACTTAACATAATTTTCTCAAAGCTCATCTATGCTACTGTGAATGGCATAATTTTCATTCTTATGTGTATAACACATACAAAAACAGTGAAGTATTACTTTGAAATTCCATTGTGTATGTATAACACATTTTCTTTCTTTCTTTCTTTTTTTTTTTTTTTGGTCTTTTGTCTTTTTCCGTGTCCGGCAACGGATTGCAACCCTCAGTGTTGCCCCTGTACCGGACCGGGGACCGGGGACCGGCAACGGGATCGCAACCCTCGGTGTTGCTCCCGCGCCTCGCTCAGCCAGTGAGCGGGAACCGGTCTGAATGTGGGATCCGAACCCTCGGGCGGGAGCGCCGCCGCACTTCCCAAGCAGCGCACTATCCAGTGCGCCACCGGGCCGGCCCTATAACACATTTTCTTTATCCAATCATCTGTTGATGGGACTCGCAATTTTTAAGGTTGGTGCACAACTGTAATCCTGTGTCTCCTTTTACCTTTCTTCTGTGTTAAGATTCCATGGTTTCCCTGAGTTAAGATTCCATGCCTTTCTTTCTTGGTTTACTACCTTGGTTTTGAAGGAGATTTCTGAAAAGGTACAACTGCAGGTAACATTTGGGAGACCCTGAATGTCTGAAAATGTCTTTATTTTGTACTTGTAACTTCATTTGGATGAACACAGAGTTCTACGTCTAGAATTCTACTTTTCAGTGTTGTTATTTAGAATTCTGAACTCATTGTGAAAGCAATCTAGTGTGTGTGAGACCTGTTTTTTCCTCTCTCTTGTTTTTTCTCCCTGGTATTTTGAAATGTCACTAAATTGTGCATTTGTATAAGTTTCTTTTTCATTGACTTCACTGGGCACTATATGAGAGCTTTCAATCTGGAAACTTATATTCTTCTAGTTCTCAGAAGGGATTTTTTGTATTATTTCTCTTATCATTTCTTCCCTTCTATTTGGTCTGTTCTCTTTTTCGGGGACTAATCATATGTTACACCTCCTGAACTAATCCTATAAGTTTCTTATCTTTCCCCCATTTTCTGCTGCTTGTCTATTTTACTTTCTAAGGGATTTCTTCAAACTACCTTTCATCCCTTCATCCATTCATTCAACAAATATTCATTGAAAGCCTATTACATAGCCAGGCACTGTTTTGGTATTATGGATATAGTGGTGAACAAACAAAAATCCTTGCTCTGTGGAGCTCTAGTGGGGGCAGGCAAATAATATATGAAATATGTCAGATGTCAGATGTAGAAAGAAATAGGGTAGTTAGCGGATATAGTGGTGAACAAACAAAAATCCTTGCTCTGTGGAGCTCTAGTGGAGGCAGGCAAATAATATATGAAATATGTCAGATGTCAGATGTAGAAAGAAATAGGGTAGTTAGGGACAATTTCATTGAGAAGACATATGTGAGCAATGACATGAAAGGGGTGAATGAGTCGTGTAGATATCTAGAGAAGAGCATTCCAGACAGAGGGTACAGCAAGTCTAAATACCTGAGGCAGACTGTGCCTGGAATTGGTCAGGGCAGAGGGTGTGAGGAGGCAAAGAGTAGAAATAAGGTAAAGAAATAAAGTTTTTTCCAGCAAACCTGTTTTTGAGTTTCAAAAGTTATTTCTTGTTTTGAGTGTTTCATTTCATATCATCTTATTCTTGTCTTATGTCTCTGAGGAACTGTTTGGTTGTTTTAAATTGTCTTCTGCTCCCCTGCATTGCCTCTGCTTCCTCTGTGTTCTCTTTTTTTCTGTTTGTTTGCTGGGTTTGTTCCCTTTTACGCTACAGGCTTTCCTCAAATATCTGGCTTTTTGTTCATATTAAAGGGGGTATTAAAATGCTGACTGGCAGCCATGTGAGAAGTGGGGGCAAGAGAAGGAGCTAACTTTTTCATCTGAGGATCATCTCCTAATGTCCTTTCCCTTGGACTGCTCAATTCCCCAGAGGAATCCTCCCATCTCCCCGTTGGGGAGTATGAGCCAGGCTGTTAGTGTTTTGAGACCAAGCATCGCTGGCGCTCCAGTTTGCAGGCTTGCAGCACACTTTCTCCTGTTTCCTAAATCAGCTGTTACTAGACTACCCTTTTTCCAGCTGCAAAAATCTTAATCATAAAACTTTGACTGCTTTAAATATATTCGTCCATGGTCTTCTCATATCACTGCTATTAATCTAGAGTTCTTTTGGATCTAGTCCTGTTTAATGCTCTTACTCACCATAGCTTATTTCCTCATATGTTACATAAATTTTTAGTGTAAAATCACCTTCAGGATCACTTTTTCTGTGGCATTCCAATGGGGCCATGTGGTGGGAGTGTTCCTTAAAAACGATTTGGCTTTGTTTCTGGTAGGCAACCCAGGGGTTTGGTGGTGTGGGGTTTTCAGTAAATATTGGTAGTATAAATACGAACCTCAAAAATACATCAGGGTTTTTTCAGAGGAAACTGTTTTTCCCACCCAGAGCCTGGAAAGAGATAAGCTTCATACAGGTGGAGAGATTTTCTTTCATGGAGTTACTGAGCTTCAACTCTATGCCAGGGCCTCAGGTCCAACTCCAGAACCTGTATTTCCTGACTCAATCCCCTGACATTGGGTCCCCTAACTTCCCAAAACAACCCGTTTTCAAGTTAATAAGCCTCTTTGTTATAACAAGAAGGCTCCCAGATTCACCTTCTAAAATCAATAGCATTTTAACAAAAACATTTCTTTAATAAAATTACGAAGTTCAACAGAATTTCTTAATACTAAAAAGGTAAATCAGAGAAATGTCTTAATAAAAAAGTACACAGCCATGGTTTTGTCTTTGCTTTTTTTTTTTTTACCTTGTTCCATTCTCTTCATTAACTGTATCTGATCGACTGTTTTCTTCAAAATCTTGCATTTGTCTGGTTTTACACTTAAGCTGTCAATGTCACTAATGTTGGCAGACAATAACTCAGCTAGCTCTTCTAAATATTTATTTTCTTGCTCCCTGCGTCTCTTTTCAGTGCTGTTACACAAAGAAAATCCAGTTAGTGTACATTTATATCACCATATTTCCTTCTCTGACCAAGTATTTAATGTTTACAGATTTAGAGAGATACTTATTTTTACCCAGAATATAAAACCAGATTTAGAAAGCAATTTAAATTCACATCTAAAAAATAGACATATGGGCTGGCTGGTCAGCTCACTTGGTTACAGTATTATGCTGGTAACACCAAGGTCAAGGATTCAGATCCTTGTACCATCCAGCTGCCAAAAAAACCCAGGCATTACAAAATGCCGAAAACAATTCTGGATAAAATATATAAAGTGAATGACTGCTATAATAGATATATTCATTCCTCCAATGATATATATATACCTTGAATATATATACCTTGAATATTTTCAAATAACCAGTGATTACTAGGTATTATAAAGACACATACAGTAAATATGCTAATTGCATTTGGAACTATCTTACATTCTAAATAACTCCTTGAAATAGAAAATCTGAATTTTCAATTAACTTTGTTATAAATTAAGCAAGAGGGACTATACTAGAGTTCAAATAAGTTATAATTAGAAATCTTATAAACTCTTGATCCTTATGATAATTAGACCATTACATGGCCCTCATCAAAAAGAAAACTCCATTCAAAAGTAAAATAAAATAATAAAAATAATTAGAGACAAAGGTACAAAGAACAACATCTTTTCTAAACAGCTTTGTCCTAAAAAAATTGAAAAAAACCCACATCTACTTATAAGTTCTCATAAATGTAATAAACAAAACCAAACGACTTATCTTACAGCAAAACAATGAGAACAAGAAATAATAGTGCATACAGCTAGCACTGTTTATTTTAAAGCATACCAAATGAACACTGATCATTTTTGTTTTCCAATCTTTACCCCTGGTATATTTAGTCAAGTCATCAGGCAACTTGTTTTGCATAACACATACAAAAACACTGAAGTATTGTTTTGAAATTAAAAAAAATTTTTTTTTATTTTTTTGAAATTTTCCTATTATCAAACTAACATAAGAGAAATGATCAGCCATAAGTAGCTCTTTGTCTTTTAAGCAGAAATCACAATCGTTTGGCTATATATAAAAGTAGTAGAAGTGAAAAGAGGAAAAAATCCACTGCTAAAAATCTCATAATTGGCAACAATATGTATATATTGTATATTATAAAATACAATTTCTTTTTTTTAATAATAATAACAAAGACTATAAAAGCAATAGTATTTATACAACAACAATACAGTAAGTTGAAAAGAACCACGTAAACTAATCAAATGTATTTACCCACATAAAACAAAATACTACAAGGGGCCGGCCCGGTGGCGCACTGCTACAGTGCGCCGCTTGAGAGCGCGGCGGCGCTCCCGCCGAGGGTTCGGATCCCACATACAGACCGGTTCCCGCTCACTGGCTGAGCGAGGTGCGGGTGCGACACCAAGGGTTGCGATCCCGTTGCCGGTCCCGGTCCGGTACGGGCGCGACACTGAGGGTTGCGATCCGTTGCCGGACACGAAAAAAGACAAAAAGGAAAAAACAAACAAACAAACAAACAAACAAAAATACTACAAAATGGTACATATCCCAAAACAAAACCAAATTAAAAAATTAACATATTCTGTCCTTATCTTTTAAATCTTTCATTATTGAGAAATTATTCCCATTTACTACAAAATGGTACATATCCCAAAACAAAACCAAATTTAAAAATTAACATATTCTGTCCTTATCTTTTAAATCTTTCATTATTGAGAAATTATTCCCATTTTATTCAGTAAACTATATCTTACAACTTCCAAAAGAACATGCAGCAAGATATTTTGACAAATTTCACACCAAGGCACTGAAAGTGAGGCACGAATAAAATCAGTAACATAAATATTGACACATGCAAGGCTTTAGAGAACCTCAGTTCTGCAATCTGATAGTGTTTAAGGACATCTGATTTTACCTTACAGAAACTAATTGATATAAGACTTACTTAGTAGATTTAAGTCTAAAGTATGATCTGTTCAAATCTATGAGTCTAAATTTCAGCATGAGTAAACTGGATTCACTTGGTGGTATTCCCAAATATGTCTTGACGTTAAGTTTTGTGAAAAACCGAAGTGCTTGAAATCACTGTGGAGTTAAAGAAAGTGATAGAACAGGCAGGATAGGCAAAAAGAGAGGGGACAGAGGAAACAAGGAGCTAAAAGTAATGAAATGGTGAGGCGTCTATGACATGACTTGAGATTGAGACTGGGAAAAATCAGTATGAAATGAAGTAACCAATAACCAAGGAGAGAAAATGAGAGCAGATATGTTTAAATGAAGTAAAAACTGAAGGAGAGGTGCACATGACAAAAAAATTCTACTTTAATGGAAAAGAAGACTTCCTCTATTACTCAAGCCATCTACATTTTTCTCTTTCCTAACGGCTTGTATTACCATTTATATTGCAGACATGCTAGTTAATGCTACTACGAGTTAGCTTTTCACGTATCTTTTTTTCTTCAACTTACTAGCTAACTCAACAAATACTCCTATACTTATTATGTGCCAGATAACCATGTACTCTGCCCAGAGGAGTAAATTAGATGTAGCCCCCAATTAGTGGGAAAACAAAGAAAAGGAAACGAGCCATTATAACACTGTGTGACGAGACTATTAATACTATAGAAGCACACAAAAATGGCACCTAGACCTGAAGAATGAGATGTATAAACTTAGCAGTAGGAAGAAGCTGGTTTCCTGAAAGAAAAAAACAGCTTTTTCAAAGGTAACGTAAGAGTGAAAATATCAAGTTAAAGAACCTATAAGTAGTTCAGTATGGCCAAACTGTAGATGATAAGAAAAAAAGGGCAAGAGATGATATCTGGGCCAAATCACAAAGGTTCTTGCAAGCCATGATAAACAGTGTGGTATATTGCTTAACAGTACAGGCTCAAACTTCCTCTGTCATTTACTAGCGATGCGACCCTGGACAAGTCACTAAGCAACAATTTAACCTCTATAAGCTTCAATTTCTTTATCTGTAAAATTGGGATAATGACATTAATTACCTCCTAGGGTTTTGTGAGGATTAAAAAAAAATGAGACACACAAACTGTGTGGTAGAGTTCTTGACATATGCTTTAGCTCAATAAATGTTATCTATTATCGTCACTTTGATAATGATTATTTATTTTCAAGGCAAAAGGTTTAAGAAGAAAGAATGGCATGACCAGATTTGTAAGCCAACTGAAGATAAAAATACATCTCACACTTCACTTATATCCTTATAACATCACACAAATGGTGCTGACTGAATAGTAGGCATTTAATAAGCACTTGTTGAGTTGAATAGGAAATGTTAAACAAGCATAAGGCACAGCTTTTTAAGACTGAAATTTTATTCCTCATTCTCCTAGAAGAATAAAGGAATGGAGAAGAGGTAACAGGAGGCAGATATGAGATATCTCACCCCACCAAACAGTTGCTGAGAAACTCTCCTATCCAGGGCTCTGTACACAGGGTAGCAATACTCTGATGTCTAAAAATGCTCTTTATGATTAATGACTTCATAAACTATTTGGGGAGGCAGAAACATTACAAGGTAGTATTCATGCACAAAGTCAATTGGTTTCAAAATAAAAAATTTTAATTTACCCTATCAAAGATATCACTTTATTAAAACTAAAGCCCATGTATATAAACCTCAAGGAAATGGTGCTTTCAAATACTTTTAAAGCAAACATGTAAAGATAATTATCTTTAAGATATCTAAAAAAGAGAAAAAGAATATATAAAATGTTTGATATTTGTAATAATGTTAGTTACTATGTACATAAAAAATGGAAGAGGATATACTGGTAAACCATTAAAACAAATAAGAAAATTCAGTACAATGGATGGATATGCAATCAATATCCACAAGTCATTACTGATTACTATTCCTATACATCAATAACTGCTCCTTAGAAAACGCAATAGACAAAACAGCATCATTCCTAAAAGTGATAAAAACTCTATAGTACCTTGGAATATACCTAACCAAAAATGGGCTAGACATTCATAGGGAAAATTATAAAATATTACTAATGAACAGCGAAGACTTGAATAAATGAAGTCTTACATTCCTAAATAAGAACACTCTAGAATTTAGATCACAAAAATTTCAATTTTCCAAATTTAATCCATAAAAGTAAATGAAATGCTATTCAAAATGGATATTCAAAATGCTATTCAAAATGGTTTTTTCAGGATAAACTTAAAAAAACCTGATTCTAAAATCTGTATAGAAGAGTAAAGAACCAAGCACAGGGAAGATAATATTAAAACAAAACAAGGAAGAAGGACTTGTCTCATCAGATATCAAGGCGATGATCATAAGAAAGCTCAGAACCAGATTCTTACATATACAGGAACTTTGGTTAATGATATAGGTAACAGTATAAAAGGAGGAAACAATAGTGTCATAACCACTGACTGAGAAAAACAATAAAATTAAGTCCCTCGAGTATCTCATGCAGATATGTAAATTCCAGATTAATTAAAATCCTAAATATGTATTAGAAGAAAAAACACAAATATATTTAAGGCTTTAGAGAAAAGGAAAAATTTTTAAGCAAGACCTCAAAAATCTTGACACATGGAAATCTAAGTTTCTGTACGTCAACAGACATCATAAATAGAGTTAACAGGCTGGGAGAAGATATTTGCATCAGATATAAACAAAAAAATGTTAGTAACTAGAAAGTTTAAAATAACTCTTACAAATAAAAAGAGCAAATAACTCAGCAGGAATATGGGCAAAAGGTACAATGAAGAAATTCACAGAGGAGGAAAACATAATGGGTAATAAAAACAAAAAAGACAATCAACTCATCTAATTATCAGGGAAATGTACTTAAAACTATAACCCCACACTCATCAGATTGGTAAAATATTAAAGTGAAAATAGAATAGTGTTAATAAGAATATGGGAAAAGAGGAACTCTCAATGCTTGTCATCTGAAGAACAAGGTGGCAATTACCTAATTAACATAAAAATGGACACAGACCCTAAAGAAACTATGTCTAAAACAGGAGTTGTGTATGAGGATGTTTGCTGCAGTGCTGGCTGTAATAGTGAAAATTTGTAACAAGCACGTTATTTATCTCTAGAGAGTTGAATATCTACAGAAAAATTGATTTTTCAAGTGTGGTATATTCATGTAATGCAATACTAATCATAAGTTAATAAGACTGAATAAATCTATAAATCTATGTATCTTTAAATCTCAAGATCCATGTTTTAAAAAATATATTGTAGTAAAATATATACAGTATTATACACTTTATGTAAATTTTTTTTTTTTTTTTTGTGGGTGGTTGGCCAGTATGGGGCCGCAGGAAACTGAACCTTCAACCTTGATGTTACAAGGCCATGCGCTAACCAACTGAGTTAACAGGCCAGCCCCAAATCTATGTAAATTTAATAAATATTCTATATTGTTCACAAATACCTATGTATGTATATTTAATTACTAAAAGATTGGAGGAATTAATTGCAGACAAATCAATTAAAAGATTATGCAGATATGATGAAATATTAACAAAATACTAATAATATAACAAAATATTATTAATCATATGTGGTAGATATACATGGTTTCTTGGTCTCCATTCTTTTATATATTTACAAAATCTCACCAAAAAAATAATAAATGCAAAAGATAATAATTTTATTTATCTATTCTTAAATTTTCCTTTAAGAAGGACTGACTTTATATTCAGATATAAACAAGAGCATTAACTTTTACAACACACATCTGGATTATATCTTGATGTCAACATTCCTCCAAACATCTTGACCCATACTTGTGACTATGAGTACTTAGGTTATTGGGTCTCTTTAACAGTTCTCTGAGATAATTAAGAGAAATGGTCACTTTTGCTTTTCCAGCCTGGAGCCCTGGCATTCTCCTGTTAAAATTCTTTCTTTTTCCTCCCATGAGAAAGAAGCATGTAATCCAATGATAAAAGAGTCTTCTGCAGCTTTACTCTCTAGATCAGTGATTATCTACTAGGGGACAGTTTGCTTTCCCCATCCCCAATGGACTTTTGGCAATGTTTGGAGACATTTTTGGTTATCACAACTAAGATGCTACTGGCATTTAGTGTGCAGAAGCACGGATACTGCTAAACATTCTACAATATACAGGATATATTCCCACAACAAAGAATTATCTGGCCCCAAATGTCAATAGTGTGGAGGTTGAGAAAGCTTGCTTTAGATCCTAGAAGATGGATGGAATAAAATCTCCACTCTTCTCCTCTCAGGCAGGAAGCTGCTTTTTTAATCTGATTGAGGTTCCTTCTCTATCTGGCATTTGTTAAAGTCTCCTTAGCAATAGGTCTCTTTTAGCCTGTTTAAGATGGTCACATTACTTATAACATAGCAAATATTTAACTCCACAAATAATGATGATTTAAAATCCTGATATCATAACATTTCTTAGTTCCACTAATACCATAATGTTCTAAGATAGCAGTTAAAGATGTACAATAGATTTATTTATTCATTTGACAAATCTTTACTGTGTCCTTACTATATATAAGGCACTTATTGTGCTAGGAACTAAGAATACAATGATGAGCAGGAACAGACAAGGTCCATTGCCAAATGGCAGCTTATAGTCTACTAGAGAAGCCAGGAATTCACAAAATAACCACACAAACTAGTAAAAACCTACAGTTATGGGTTGGAGCTATAAAAAAAAACCATGTGAGACAGGCACAGGAATGGGGAAGATTTGACCTAATAAATGTGAGTTATGGAAGGAAGAGAAGGCTCCCCTTAAGGAAGTAATAACTAAGCTGGAATGTGAAGAATGCATAGCTGTTAACTATGGGAAATCAAGAGGAAGCAAGCTGGATTGAGGAAGAAGCATGTGCAAAGACCCTGGGAAAGGAAAAGAACATGGTGAGCATAACGGACTCAAAGAAGGCCACTAAATTTGGAATAGATGAAACAAAAGCTCTAAAGTGGTAGTAAAGATGATAAAGCAGCTCTGCCAGAAACAGATGATGAAAAGAAGAATGCTCCTACCTGGATGCCAGTGTGTCACATGGCGATCCTTTTCTTTTATGTGAGTCTGGGTTAGCAGGGTCAGAAGAACTGTCCCCGAGGCCACTCATGTTGAAAAACTTCACACCTAAAAAGGAAGGACAACAGTAAGAAATCTAACCTTACGACCTTTCCAGCCAAATAAGGGGAGGGGAAGCCCCCCCATGTTAGAACATTTCTAAACATTGCGGTCACTCGATGAATAATTACAACCACCATAAAAGCATCAGCATCTATACAAAAGCACAGGAGTCATCAACTATTTAGTGTTCCTCTACTTTCTTTTCTATATCGGTAAAACAGAATTAATAATTCTTTATGAAATCACTGTGATCAGTTAGGATGATAATTAAATAGAGATTGAGATTTTTTTCAAAGAGAAGAAAATCACTTTAATGTGTAAATATAAAAACTGAATGTATAAGTGAAGCCAGAGAAATTATTTTTTATTTATTATTTATACCTTAGTTTGTAAAAGGATTCAAAACAACTTTTACTCATAAGGTTTGGGATTTTATATTGATAGGAAAATAAATAATACATAAATGATTAAAGTTAAAGTGATAAACTAGATTTGGATTTTGAATTGTACTTTACACTTTGGATTCTATATTCCTAACCTGTGTTTATGTAGTCAGGCAACAAAGATCAGATGTTTAGTCTATGTTAGGATTGTGGTATAGGTGCCAGAGAACACAAAGTCACTCCTCCTAGCATGCCAGCCAGGTCTCTCATATGTTGCGCCAGTTACTGACTGTGTTTAAAGATCCCTTCTGATCTGTCCTTCATCAACCACGACTCTCTGTAAAATCCCTAATGAAACTCAGAACCCTATCCCTGGTCTTAGAATCTTCATTATTTTTTGGATTTTATTGGTGCCAAACAATACACCTCGCCATTCTCTTTTACTCCATCTAACCTCATAAAAGGAGGGAAAATTCTTGTTAAATGGGAAAAACTTTAGATTTTCCTTAAATTCTAATTATTAAAAAACTATAGCACTGTATGTTAGCAGTCATGTTGGGAAAGTTTATTGTAAAAAATGTTGAGATCTTGTGAAGAATGGTCTTATAAAGAATGAGAACCTGTCACATGGCTTTAAGTTATAGGTGTGAGTAAATCTTTTTTCTTTAGTCCTAAAACTCACTCACTCTTTCTAGCCCATTTCTAAAGACCAAAGACTGCTAATATATCATTTTCAGTGTACAAATAATCCCTAACAGTTTAATCATGAGCTTACTATTTCATGTAACCAAAAAGGCACATTTCCAGTTCCTCCATATTAGAAGTGCAGTTTATGAAAATTCCCATCCCCAAGATCGCAATCTTGCTGTTATTTTTTATTCTTCTTTCTCTTTTACTCCTCATTTCTAATTGGTATCTGTGTCCTGCTGATTCTTCCTTAACAAAAGACTTTAGATCATCTCCTTCTTCATTCCCTGGTATAGTTATGATCCTAGTTTGGAACCAAATACCTTATTCTAGATTAATGCAAGATCCTTTAATCTTGTTTCTCAATTCCAGTCATTCTCGCATCTAATCTGTCCTATAAACAGCAGCAAAAGTGTTCCTGCTCAAATGTCATTTTCAAGATATCATTTCCCTGATGAGGAATCAACTGGATTCCCCTACTAAAGCATGGTAGTTAAAAGCATGGGCTTTGGGGCAGAAAGACCTTGTTCAAGTCTTGGTTTAACCACTACCTGCCTGTCATTGGGCACAGTACATAATCTCTTTAAACCTATTTCCTCCTCATGTGTTTTTTGTCTCAGTGCATTGGAGTTATTGTAGCCTCTTCTCTCATACCCCATATGCAAGCAAACTCCAAGATTTATCAATTTTTATTTCCTAAATATTTCCAAAATTCATCCCTTCCTCATATTCTCCTTTACCAAGACCCCAGTCCAGTTTCTCATCATCTCTTGTTGCACTACTAAAATAGCTTCCCAAATGGTCTCCCTGTTTCCAGTCTTGTCCTCCTTAAATCTTCTGTGAAGAGCTGCCAGAGTAGGCTACCAAATATATGCCTGATCATGTCAATCTCTTAAAACCCTTCATTAAATCCTCCTTACCCACAGGACAATATCCAAACTCCTTAACAAAATATACAAAGTTTACATCACTCTTACCTAGTGTGTGTTATAATACAATAGCAAAATTAATACAACATAATAGCAAATTCTATCATAGAATTTGCTGAATGAGTGACTAAATGCCTGTCCAATCAAGTGTTTATGGATTATATATTACATATATAAATAAATTATATGTTACATACTATATATAATCTGTATATACAAACATATAACTTAAATATGTTAATTTTAGTTTCAACCTCAAGAAAAGACAATAAAAATAAAATCCTTGGTAATATCCCATATTCCCAGGAAAGGTAAATATTAAGCAAAAAATTTAAAATTGACCTCAGTGTGGGGAACAGACTAATTTTAGTTAGCAAGAAATATTTTTAGAATTCCTACTACATGCCAACCTCTGTTCTAGGCACTAGGGATACAGCTGTGAATAAAATTTACAAAATCATTATCCTCATACAGTTTCAATCTATTGTGAGGGAGACAATAAATAAAACAAAAAATAAAATTATATAGTATATTAGAAGGTAGTAAGTGCTATGGAGAAAAATAAGGCAAAAATAGAAGCTTAGGGGCCGGCCCGGTGGCGCACTGGATAGTGCGCCGCTTGGGAAGTGCGGCGGCGCTCCCGTCCGAGGGTTCGGATCCCACATACAGACCAGCTCCCGCTCACTGGCTGAGCGAGGCGCGGGAGCAACACCGAGGCTTGCGATCCCGTTGCCGGTCCCGGTCCGGTACGGGGGCGACACTGAGGGTTGCGATCCGTTGCCGGTCACGAAAAAAGACAAAAAGGGGGAAAAAAAAAATGTAGCAGATGTGAGGGCTGGCCCGGTGGCGCACTGCTACAGTGCACCGCTTGAGAGCGTGGCGACGCTCCTGCCGAGGGTTCGGATCCCACATACAGACCAGCTCCCGCTCACTGGCTGAGCGAGGCGCGGGAGCAACACCGAGGCTTGCGATCCCGTTGCCGGTCCCGGTCCGGTACGGGGGCGACACTGAGGGGTGCGATCCGATGC